ACCCGCCGGCCGACGGCCCGGTGCCACATCTCTGCGACTGCCCGCCCGCCGCGGCGGGCTACACCAGCGTGATCGTGGACTCGCAGCTCTACGCCCAGAACCAGTACGTGCACTGACGGAGCGGCGCGGCCCGGCGCGGCCCGGCGGTGGTCGGCGGCTCCCGATCTGACGTCATCATCTGTGGGCTGAGGCTCTGACTCCCCTCCGCACACCCAGGCGGCGGTCTGGGCGGGCCGGCGTCGGTGCTCCGCTGAGTGGCGGCGCGGGCCTGGCAGAGCACGGCTGCGGAAGGCTCACCCGGTCCGGGGCAGGCCGGCCTGGACCTTGTGTTGTGTTTGATCTGGTGCGTCGCGCTGCCGCGTGTTCTAGTCCAGTTGTTTGGGTGGAAAGACGCGGAGAAGCGGAGCGGTTGCTGCTTCCGATTGCTGCTGCAAAAGACAGTTCGGTTGGGCGGGGGACACAGTGCCACGAGGGTAGATGGCGGTAGGGGTGTTAGCCGCCGTTGCAAATGTTTTGCGTGTGCAAAAATAAGCACAGCGTGTGGGAAGAACGCTGGGAATGTGGAAGATATAGCATGCGTTACGTGTTTGTGTGATTATTTTAGGTGCACAGTCTGTTCTGTACCACTTACCGACATCTTGCGCACACCGTAACATTGGGCAACAATACGCGGTAAGCCAGGTATCTCCAGCGTCACTCAGAAGCCACGTTTGCATCACCATAATCTGTATTGCACAGGACTCATCGCACAATTGCCGACATGAATAATGTGTCGCTGTTTCAGTGCGTGTGTCACCTCATATTCAGTGTTGTTGATGTCAGGACGGCCAGGTTCCTGGAAACCAGAATAAAAAATAAAAGGCCAAGTACTCGGTGCGGTATCCATTTGCCGTAGCAGGTTGCATGTCGCTCTGGCACAACGATAACTGTGTGTGTGTTACACGTTAAATTGTAGAAAATCAGGCCGATCATAAACAGCAAGTTTTTCCATCAGCTCAGACATACAGGCAGAATGTGACAAAACGGACACAACCACTTCCCTCGCTGCATCGTTGTTGGCACCGGCATGACAAGATTCGCCTCCAGCTAACATTCTGTGTCTGTCACATATCTGCCCAAACGCGCATGAACGTGCCGAATCTCATAATCGGCTGGGTTTTGCTGCAGCTGAAAGGAAAGCACAAAAGAGATATGGCACACCCCGAACCGTTTTGCCGACATCTGTTTTGCTGTTCGCATTCGGTTGTGCCGGAAACCGATGCAAGCGTAACAGACCAACATGTTTTTTTTCTTCCTCTTCTATACCGTTATACAAAAACAGCCAACCAGAAATGCCCGCCCCCCCCCCCCTCTCTATCCAGCGGCGCAACGAACCGTACGCTAAAGGGAGCATCCCACGGTTTTTGCGTTTTTTACTTATCATACCTGACGTATACGGTTTGATCAATAACACCAGTCTTTGTCGAAATCCTAGATAGCTCAGAATTTCTATTGGAAGCAGCGGACGCTGCGGGAGAAATCTCATTTGACTACCTGCTGACCACTGTGAGAGCCATACATTCCTCTGCCTTGCTTTTTCCAGCGCGTGTGTTCCGTAATATTTGTAATACACTGTTATGTGAAAGTGTTTGCATAATAAATGCTACGAAATCTTGGAACACAGTTTAGAAAAAAGAGATGCGAACACGCGGCTTTCATCCTGCCTATTCAACGAAACGTTATACTATGACGGATTTCTTCCTATGACGTTTACCACAGCGGTTCTTTTCGACGCGCAGTTTTACTTTGGGACTGGGTGTATCACATGATCCGCGTGGCGCACTGGTTCAAACTTCAACATTTTGGTGGCAGGCCCGCTGGGCCAATCACAAACTTTTTTGTCCACACTAGTAGAGGTGAGCACGGTGGTTGTCATGACGACGGTGCTCGCGACGGCAGAGAAGAAGCGTGGTGCTGTTACAAAGCGCTGACAGGGCAATTTGAACTCGAAAATAACTAAATTGATATACTTACTATATCTTGAAGGTGGTGCAGTGGCGATTCGCAGTGTAATCAGTAGACGTAACTAGTCCTGAGGTTTCACTAGGGCATGCTTTTGAAGTAGACTCTAAAGGTGGAACACTCATTTCAACACCAGAAACATAAAAACAATTCGCAGCGCTCCCAGCCAAGAAGTAGAATCAAACGCAGAGAAGCAGGCAGAGGTGGTGCAGATTCGGCAGGACTCGCGTTGTGCAATAGACATGAACAAATCATGCCGGAGAAGGCTTAAATTAGCCACAGCTGTGACAGCTAATGACAGGCCGCTGAAGTCACCCAACTTACTACTAACACGCATTCAGTGTTAGTAAACATAAGTCGGAGGGGCAATTACCTGGCCATTTTCATGCCGGTTCTTGAGCTGGATCTCCAGGGAGTCCATCCGGGTAAGCCAAGCTTGGCTGGCACCGCGCGGATGTTTCCATCGTGAATGTGAGCTGTAACCTAAACGTCTATCAGGTACTCGTTTCGATGAAAGGCACAGGTCATGGGTGTAGTAACAGCGCCACCTTCCACCTTCCACACAACCACTTTCATTTCCCCATGCTGCCAGTCCGCACGCCCACATGCCGCCAGTGCGCACCTCTCATTCATGTTGTCGCCTTGCGCCTTCCCACACGGTCATCCGGATTCCCCCCGCATCGTTACCCTGCCACATCTCCATACAGCTACCCCGCATCTTCCCATGCAGCCACCCTACACCTCTGTATTCTGCGACCACGCTCGGCAGGGTCAATTAAGCCGGGAAATCCTGCCCGAGCTGCACAGTTCAGACACCCCACTCTCCTCACAATTAGAGGTCTGTGCCGACGCGGTAGTTTCCATGGCGACGGCACACCTCGGCGCTTGGAGCGTCGAGGACTGGCGGCGGCCGACCGCCAATCATCACGAGCTGCGCTGCCCGCCCGCTCGCAGGCGGCCGCCTGGCCTGCGGGAGGCTGCTGCACACAGAGCGATGACAGCGAGTCGGTGAGACGGGGTTCTGAGTCTCATATAGTGGAAGTCTGGTCTCATGATATCAGTGGTGTGGTCCAAGAACCCAGCGGATCAGTCGTGGCTTGGAGGGTAGAAGCATGCAGCTGTGTAAAAATGAGGCAGGGAATGGCCTGGGGCCATATGTAGAAATTTGAAACTGTTCAGACGTTCCGTTATCGAGATGGGGAAATAGAGGAAATGAATAAATCCAACCGGTTATCCTTTCTGCCGCGACAACTTCGGTAACGTGATGAAATTTGACATTAGCCATACATAACAAGAATCGATGCGCAAAATGTAAAACAATTTACAATGTTTCAGAACAACTTAAACGTTCCAAGCCGACTCCGAGTTGACCGGAAGACATCTTCCGCATCTTCACGCTTGCAGTGCACAAGCCTCGAAACCCGAAGTGAGTTCATGCATCCAGCCTGGCACTACACTGCTAGTGGTGTCCAAGCCAGTCAGGCATAGTCGGAGTCTTCGTTGGGTCGAGGTGGAGTCGGTGGAAGTGAGCCTGAGCCGGAACGACGCCACCGGAGTCATCCACGAGTCTACTCAAGTATGAGTAAAGATCTCAACGGTTCTCATTACTCGAAAATCCATGTCAGCATGGAATCGATCGCAAATGCCTGCCTTCCTGCACTTTTATCAAAATTCACTCATTTGCCCAGTGCTCTTTGGAGTCGGATTCGCATTTAGTCCCGCGGGATGAGCTCGTGGTAGGAAGCGATTCCGCAAAAGCGGAATCCGGTACACAGTCGTCATGCTGTTTTGCAGCACAGAATGTCCCGCCAACGGCTGCTACACTACCGAACTACTCTTTATCACAAGTAGTCCACATAATGCCAACACAAAACCCTTGACAATTGTCCTGTATATTGGCCGGAAATGTCGGCAAGTAATGCATACAACGGTACACAAAAGTGAAGAATACAGTCTCTTGTTCATCCCTCCACGGATTGCACGATTCACTACATCTACCGTCTCGGGAATGTACCCCTAGTTCGCAAACCATCGGCCTAATAGCTAACCAGCGTCGAATGGCCACACAATGAAAGGATCTCACAAACCTGGACAAAAACCCGAGCGACGCAAAGTTGACAGTGACGTACACCGGACGTAAACTGATACAACATCCCACCACAAGGCCGTCTAAGCGCCGCTGTAATCGCTGACTTTCTCTGGCCAGGACGTCCGACGCCAAAAAACACGGCGCTGCGCGTCCCGGCGCGTGCCCTTCGGCGACCCGCTTACAACCCAACATGCTGCACCGAACAAAACAACCAAGCGCAAACCAAGAAAGGCACAGCGCTGCTTGGCGACAGGAGGCGTTTCCAGCTCCATGGAAGCGCCGCGACAACCTGAGACGCTCGCTCTGGCGGACCGCAACCCCTCCAGACCAGCCCCGGACGGGCGCGACGGCGGGGGACCGGCGCCAGCGACGGCGGGGGACCGGCGCCAGCGACGGCGACGGCGGGAGACCCACGGCGGGGGACCCACGCCAGCGACGGCGGGAGACCCGCGCCAGCGACGGCGGGGGGACCCACGTCAGCGAACGGCGGGGGAACCGCGCCAGCGACGGCGGGGGACCCACGCCAGCGACGGCGGGGGACCCACGCCAGCGACGGCGGGGGGAACCGCGCCAGCGACGGCGGGGGAACCGCGCCAGCGACGGCAGGAGACCCGCGCCAGCGACGGCGGGGGACCCACGTCAGCGACGGCGGGGGAACCGCGCCAGCGACGGCGGGGGACCCACGCCAGAAACGGCGGGGGACCCACGCCAGCGACGGCGGGGGAACCCACGCCAGCGCGGCGGGGACCCACGCCAGCGACGGCGGGGGACCCGCGCCAGCGTCGGCAGGGGACCAGCACCAGCGCCAGCGACGGCTCCGTCCAGCATCGGGGCTGACACTCCGAGCGCGGCGGTGAGAACACAGACCATCGTCTCACGTGTGAGGGAGGGGGAGGGGGAGGAGGGGCGCTCAAGCCTGCGGGTCGTTGTTCTGGATGTCGGACAGCAGCACCAGCTGGTCCGGGTCCAGCACACTCAACTCGCCCATAGCCGGCTGCGGCTGCGCCACGGCCGCCTCCTCCTCGGCGCGGCGCGCCTCTCGCCGCCGGCTGGCAACCGTTGCTCTTGTGGAAGAGGTGCGACAGCGACTTGGTGCGGTTCAGGAAGGCCAGCCGCGGCTTGTGCCGTTTGAGCGGGCTGGCGACGGCGGCCGGGCGGCCGGCCGGCGGCTCCGGGGGTCCGACCGGCGGCCTCTCCTGCTCGGCCGCCGCCGGCCCGGCGGCGGCGCCGTTCGGTGACGCCACCCGCGGCCTGTCGATCTCCGCCGGGCTGACCGGCGTCTCCTCCACCTCTTCCGTCAGTCGCCGCGACAGCTCGGGCCGCGCCGCCGCCGCCGCCGCGACGCCTTCCCGCCACTGGTCGAAGCTGAGCCTGCGGTCGGGCTCGTCGGGCGGCGCCACGGTCGCCGGCTGCCGCCGCTGCCGCAGCTGCGCCGCGTCCAGCGTGTGCTGCCGCGGTCAGCCGGTGAGCGGGGCGCGCCGCCTCCGGCGAGCGGTCGGCGGCGCGCCGCGACCGCACCAGCGGCGGTTCGTACTGGCAGCCGACGGAGACGACGCGCGGCCGCCGGTCCAGGTACGGGTCCGTCTGGCAGCCGGCGTCCGCCTGCTCCGCCGCCCACGACCTTGGTCGGAGAACGGCGTGTCAGTAGCCGGCACAGCCCCAGAGAAGGCCGGGTTAGGCGCAAGGTCACAGCACGGCGCGGTGCGACGCAGCCTGGCACGGCCACGGTCACCGTAAATGACGGAGAAGCACTGCAAACATGTGCTGCCCATTCTTACTGCGTTTACACTGCAAGACACGTGATGACAGCAAGGTGGGTGCGTTGCATGTGCAGGCGTTGCAACGACTATCGCGTTGCCAGCGTTAACCGGTTGGATGCCAACAACATCTTACAGTCCATGATCTGGTAATCACACAACACGTTACGACATCGTTAGTAGGAAACACGAGTGCTAAGCATAAGTAAACCGTCAAAGGCGTAGCTAAGGCGACTTATGGATATTAAAACAGACAGCAGAACCAAAACTTCCCTGAAAGCTCTCCAAAGAGCGGCCACAGCCCGAAAAGATCACACGCACACCAAGTCTGGACTATGCACACGGTGCTGATTCTTTCTGCGCCATCCCACATAATTCGTCGTCTGGCAGCGGCGCTTCGGGGAGCGCTGTATGAAAGCAGGGGAGAAGGGTTCAAACGGCGCCTAGCATCTACCACCCGCAGTCTCCAGGGCGGGCGTTCCCGAGGGGCATCACACGCGGCAGCCAGCCGTCCGCCCCGTCCTGTGTTCCCCAATGCCCGGGTCTGTCAGCACTCAGCGGCACGTGCAGCACACCCCACCAGACGGGCAGAGCGCCCCAGCGGCCGTCACCCATGCGGTGCTGCCGACGCCGCGTCCGGCGGCCGTCAGGCGTCCGGCGCCCACGACAGCCGGTAGAAGGAGGGCCCGCCGCCACCCGCCGCTGCCGGCCCTGCGTGCCCTGTGCCGCGTCAGCAGGCGTGCCGTCTGCGCATGCGCGGCAGCACGAGAGCGCGGCGAAGCGGCCACCCCGAGCCATGCGCTCCGGCCTCTCGGCACGCGACTCACTACTGGGCGGCGGGGGCCGGCGCTCTGCGCGGGGGCAGCCGTCAGAGTCGGGTCGCCCGGCGACAGCCGCCACACAGACACGAGCGCGACGACAGCGGCCGGCACCGCGCGGCGCCGGCCGCCACGACCAACCGGCCACACGTGGTGCGAGACAGTGAACGAGCGACAGCAGAGAGATGACCGCCGGCAGGGAGTGAGAACGACGGGAAGCCATCGAGGCTGACTTGTACTGGAGGCAGGAGGGCGGGTGACGATATAGCTGGGGCGGCAGCGGTTCCGGGCCACCCGCACGCGCTGCTGAACAGGCAGCGCGCCGAGGGGCCCACCGACGGGAGACTCGGATCAGGAGGCCACCTACCCGCGGTGCTGCGGACTCGAGTCCACCGACGAGAAGCTGGACCCCGAACGACAGCGAGCGCTTGTGGACCTCGCGTCTGTTGAACTCGATCTTGGCGATCTCGGCCTGCAGCCAAGCCGGCGTGTCCGGGATGGCGTAGGCCACCAGCAGCTTCAGCAGCAGCAGCGCGTGCTGCCGGCGGCAGCGGGCGGCGTCACGCTCCGTCGCATGGGGGCGCGCGGACACGCCAGCGCGTACGAAATATGCCATCCAGCAGCAGGGAGTGCCGAAGCGGTTTGGACAACATGGTCATGTGGCGAATATGCCAGTCAAAAACGTGTGACAATGACAAGCATCAGTATCCAAAGTTTACATCACATTTGCATCTAACACAGTTTGCTACGTCATGTCATAGGACAACGGACCGAAGCGACGGATATGCGGTCGCAGCATATTCGGTGGCAGCTCCTGCAACATAACAAGCTCCCACCGACAAAACGACTGCCGAGAAGCCTATGTGAGGAAGAAAATCCAACTACAATGCGTGAAAGCACGGACCTCCCAGCAGGCAGTAGTCCAAATCCACCACGCCTGAACCGCCTTCACAAGTGCCGCATGTGGGCCCGGCTGCGGCGGTAGCTGGGCCCACGCGCCGCGACGCTGATAACACCGCTCACATCCAGCACGATGACCAGCAGCACAGTCTGCGTGGTGGAAATGTCGGGGAAGAGCCGGTGCACGGGGCCCGACATGCCGATCAGCGCGCAGTTGACGATCACGCCCACCACGCCCATCACCTCCATGGCGTCCTGCCGGCGGCAGCGGCGGCTTGCCTCAGATTGCCGGCTGCCCGGGCCGCCCGAGCCGAGCGACGCCGGCCTGGACTGTACGGGCGTCGGGAGGGGAGACGCACAGGCACGGGAACCGGCCGGGCCGAGCGACGCCGGCCTGACTGTACGGGCGTCGGGAGGGGAGACGCATAGGCACGGGACCGCCCGGGCGAGCGACGCCGGCCTGGACTGTACGGGTGTTGGGAGGGGAGACGCATAGGCACGGGACCGCCCGGGCCGAGCGACGCCGGCCTGGACTGTACGGGTGTCGGGAGGGGAGACGCACAGGCACGGGACCGCCCGGGCCGAGCGACGCTGGCCTGGACTGTACGGGTGTCGGGAGGGGGAGACGCATAGGCACAGGACCGCCCGGGCCGAGCGACGCCGGCCTGGACTGCGCGGGTGTCGGGAGGGGAGACGCAATAGGCACCAGGACCGGCTGGGCCGAGCGACGCCGGCCTGGACTGTACGGGTGTCGGGAGGGGAGACGCAACAGGCACGGGACCCGCCGGGCCGAGCGACGCCGGCCTGGACTGTACGGGCGTCGGGAGGGGAGACGCACAGGCACGGGACCGGCTGGACCGAGCGACGCCGGCCCGGACTGTACGGGTGTCGGGAGGGGAGACGCACAGGCATGGGACCGCCCGGGCCGAGCGACGCCGGCCCGGACTGCACGGGCGTCAGGAGGGGAGTCGCACAGGCACGGGACCGCCCGGGCCGAGCGACGCCGGCCTGGACTGCGCGGGTGTCGGGAGGGGAGACGCACAGGCACGGGACCGGCTGGCCGCCGCCGTGGCTGGGGGTCGGGGCTCAGCGCTGTACTCTGTCGGAAGGCCACTAGGGTGTCGGGGGCTCAGCGGCTGTACACTGTCGGAAGACCACTAGGTGTCTGGGCTCAGGGGCTGTACACTGTCGGAAGGCCACTAGGGTGTCGGGGCTCAGCGGCTGTACACTGTCGGAAGGCCACTAAGGTGTCGGGGCTCAGCGGCTGTACACTGTCGGAAGGCCACTAAGGTGTCGGGGCTCAGCGGCTGTACACTGTCGGAAGGCCACTAGGGTGTCGGGGGCTCAGCGGCTGTACACTGTCGGAAGGTCACTAGGGTGTCGGGGCTCAGAGGCTGTACACTGTCGGAAGACCACTAAGGTGTCGGGGCTCAGGGGCTGTACACTGTCGGAAGGCCACTAGGGTGTCGGGGCTCAGCGGCTGTACACTGTCGGAAGGCCACTAGGGTGTCGGGGCTCAGCGGCTGTACACTGTCGGAAGGCCACTAGGGTGTCCGGGGGACTCAGGGGCTGTACACTGTCGGAAGGCCACTAAGGTGTCGGGACTCAGGGGCTGTACACTGTCGGAAGTCTACTAAGGTGTCGGGACTCAGAGACTGTACACTGTTGGACCAATGGGATGTTGGGGACGCCCGGACACCGACCTTATGCCATGCCCCCCTCCCCCCCCAAAAAACACGCAGTCCTGTAAGGAAATAAATACAAAGCTGGATAAAAAAACAGGACGTGTGCTTATGACGAATGGGACGGAATGCTACCTAATATCGTCTGCGTAGTTCATCTGCAACTTTGGAAAATAGCCGGCAAGTGGTTTTCTTCCCGCAGCAGGGATGAGTAAAGCCACCTGAGTTAATGATGTCTTACAGCAGACAAAAAATGGACAATTAGAGCTCGCTCTGCATCATCGGCGCGTAACACGACCTAAGCCAGCGGCTCCCTGCGACATTCACCAGCTGAGCGGTCTGAGCTTATCTCATCGCTGCCTCGGCGACTAGGGCAGGTCACCGGGTCCACTAAACTGCCTCTAAGATGAACACATTTAAACAAAAACACGCTGCACACAACACACATCTCACACCTGCCTAGGATGATAAGACAATTTAATATCACGTTCTTCTGCACTTATAAGTAAGGCAATGACCCTGTCAAGCGGCACATCTCACAACGTGCCCGAAACAATGCGCAGGGCTCACACAGCGCCGACGTGTCTCCAATACCGTGGCCACCACCCAGAAAACCACCCCGACCGGAGACGCTCCGCCCGGCCCCCCGACACGCACCTGCCACGTGCCGATGTTGCGCGCCCTCTGGCCGAACGGCCGCTGGAAGATGGCGCATAGCTTGAAGGCGTCGCTGCGAATCTCAATCACGTTGTTGAGCAGGGCGCAGAAGGCGGCCAGCGGGAAGGCCGACGAGAACAGGATGACGTAGCCGAACTGGATGAACATCTCCAGGTAGTCCTCAAACGTGCCGTCGTACTGGCGGTGCGGGCGTCGGTGCTCAGTGAAAGTGGGGAGGAGGTGGCGCTCGAGGCGCGCGAGCGGCGGCGGCTCGGCGCTCGAGCGGCGTCGCCACGCGGCTGGCCAGAGCACGTCGGCGCTCGGGGCGCACGAGCGACGGCGGCCCGGCGCTCGAGCGGCGCCGCCACGCGGCTGGCCAGAACACGTCGACGCTCGAGGCGCGCGAGCGACGGCGACCCCGGCGCCGGAGCGACGCTCGAGCGGCGGACGCCACGCGGCTGGCCAGAGCACGTCGGCGCTCGAGGCGTGCGAACGACGGCGGCCCAGCGCTGGGGCGGCGATCGAGCGACGGTGGCCCGACGCCGGAGCGACGCTCGAGCGGCGTCGCCACGCGGCTGGCCACAGCAGGCCGGCGCCTATTGCACACGGACGAGACTAACCATGCCCTGAAACGTGCGCAAAGCGCAACAACGGGGGACGCATCAAAATACAATTTATCGCGATGCAAATTATGATGAGCTACTGAGAAAATAATAACAAAATCAGAGACTGACTAGAAAACTCATGACCTCCACTGTTTCCTCCTTTGACAGGCTGTGTCGCTAGACGTGGAGTGGCTTGCACAACAGTGGAAAATGTTCGATGGCCCAAAGCGAGGAACGTCGGAATCATAAGCGACGGTAAGCAGTCTTGCTTTAAGCTAAAACCTTTGGAATGATGCTATCGCGGCCACGACGCTACCCTCCGCTTCATGATCTTTGAAGGATGAGGAACACCACTTGGCAGAGATTAGGATTCACTTCACAGGTTTAGGCGCGTCAGTATGGCCCATCCGCCAGCAAGACTGGTCACAAACTGGATCTCTTCACGAGTGGACATGCTTCACGTTAACAGCTAGGGGGATTGGCCAAAGGGGACGTAGACCCATACGTATATTACAACATCCGTCGCTGCTGATAAGTCACACAGTGCCGTACATTGCTCGAACGAGACAGCCAAGACGGCCGCATGTACAATGCGTCCCATGGAATCTGAAGCCATAAGGTCGGGTTTGAGGACAGCGCAGCCCGATAGCGCGTACAGCTCGCTGAAGAGGGCGAAAATGGCCTCCGCTACCAAGACCACATGCCGTTTCCTTGAAGTGGCGACTCACCTGAGGCATCGCCGACTCTAATTTCAGCTTGGCTGATGTTTCTTGCCTGGCGTCCGGCGTCGGAACGGGGCGAAGTGCTGCCATCTTCAGGCACTGGGCTGGCGTCGAGCTTCGGCTTCTCCTCCATAGACGGCGAGACGGCACCGAACATGGCGAAGCTCATTTGGGCCAGCTTCATTTGCCCTTTCAGGAATGGGATTAGAGATTCCTGATATTACCCCACCACTTGCCGGATGATCAGAAGGGTTCCAAGTTGCTGCGGCAGCACACAAAAGACACTGGTGACGATGTCCTGTCGCCCAGGAGAACAAAGAGTAATCCAAACACATTTTCAACGTGCTTAATTGGAACCACTATCGCCATCGGAACGAACCACTGCAAGATTGTTAACACAAAAATCCTTGAAAACTAACATATTGCTTATAAAACAATTGGCAAGAGCAGCGATAGTCTGTTACCTTTGGTCAGCATCGCCTCTCAAATGCGACCGTTTACCTTCTTAGCCGCTCCATGTCTTGCAGATAGAAGGCAATGTCGAATAATGAGGCGAAGGAATTTACGACTGAAAACTAAGGCAAACATGACGTCACAACCCCATAAGTTGACGCCGCGCAAACAACCTCGTAGCGCTTTAGACACAACTCTTCAATAAATAGTTGGAATGTCCCATAACAATTTCCTCACAGTCTTATCACACCGGACGGGTGCGACGGATGGATGAAAAAACGTGACAGAGCAAAAACATGCGTATTGGACAGGCACAGGCTGAGGGCGTTTTCCTTATTTAAGAAAAGACGAAGGGAAGGGAAGAGAATGTCGCGACAAGTGAGCCCATGCAAATCCCTCACTGGTGCGAAGTCAGTCAAGCAATGTCACCCCTGACTTTCGAAACGTAGCTTTACTCTCTGCCTTTTAATAGCAGAATCTGTATATCTTCCTTTAAGCTGGCGAGCCAAAGAACTTGGGAAGCCAAAGGCAAAGAACAAATATTTTGTGAGCGGTTTTCTCAGTTTTGTTTTCAAGATGCGATCAAAATTGCAAATGACCCGGGTGACATTAGCTGGTGTAGTGGGGAAACCCACCCAACCAACAGAAGTAAGTCTTGAACCCAACAGATATCGGTGAAGACACGAACAAAGACAACGGCCGAGCCTTCCAAAGCTCACCTCCACTGTGTCCAGTGGCCATCTCAGATCAAGGTTGTCAAACGACCCAGGGTAAAACACCCAATGAGCAGGCCAGCTGCAGCCACTGGCAAACACCCACACACTGAACCCTCACTTCTCCCTTGCGGGGTGCTCGAATCCATGCAGCCCGTCACACTCAATAGGCAATAGAGCAAGCAGCAAGCAGGCCTTGAAGTCATAGAGCAGTCGGAACGTTCTAGAAATACAGGGTGCACGAAAGCAAAACATGCATCTGAAAAGAACAGTCAAATAATGCAGTACTGGCGCATTCACCGACCACGAACAAATAAGAGCGAACCTAAAATGGCGAGACCTCTAGACAAGACTTACAAGTTATTAGCCAGGGTAACAAAGGCGTTCATATGTACCCACCGTATTCAGTGGAAGTTTACGAGCGTGCGCAAACACTCGCCCCGTGAAATCCAAATACTTTCCAGGCCATCTCGATCATAGAGACAGGCTATGGTGGATCGCACCGCAGAACTGAGTCAGCCCGAGCCGACCATGGCTTATGAAAATGGCGTGCAAAATCAAATAACCTGCGCCTACGTCAATGAAAGAAGGGGTTGCTGAGCCAGCGACATCAAATATTGGCAGCGTACCGCTATGAATAACAATGAACCCCATCCTATAACCACAAGACAGTCCCAACCACGAGTTCCCTTGAAATGGGTCAATACTGGAAAGCAGCAAGCACAACGAGCGCCATCAATAAAGACAAGTCAAATGTGACCAACACATCAAACATAGTGGCAACAACAAGAACCGGACTCGACCGGGTCCGAGGAGAGCGAACTACGGGGTGCAGAACTCAATAACACACAGCCGGAGCGACACCGCGAGCGCCGGTCCCGCATCCTCATGCTGCTTCGGAGTGATGCCAGGCACACCAGACCCGCCAGCAGATCTGGGGGGGGGGGGGGGGGGGGGGGGGGGCCCAACACAGCACGTGTGCGACCGCCAGTCGACTGAGCCGACTCACCAACGCCAGTTTCACAATCAGGTGGTTCTGGTAGCTCTCCTCCAGTCTATAGTTCTCTGCAAAGGCCGGCGGGAGCTGAGTAACCCAGGCTCGGGATCCTGGTGGGCGGGACGGGACGTAGAGGAGCACAGGATCCAGGCAGGCGGGACAGGCCAGAGCGAAGCATGAAATCCGGGCAGGCGGCACGAGGCAGGGCGGAGCACGGGAACCAGCCACAAAGGAGAGGCCGGAGAGTCGTGCGCCCACACGACAGTAGACAGGGGGTGATCACCAGGCGTGGCGCCGACCTGATGAGACCGCCCGAGCTGCAGAGATCCAGCTTCTAATCCTCACCCACGAGACCCTGACCTACGCGCCGCCACAGCTGCTTGGCTTTCAACCTGACGTGGACTACCACCATGCCAGGGCTGTCTGTCGGGCCGACAGCCAACCGTCTGTCGGGCCGACACCCAGCCGTTTGTCGGGCCAGGCACCCGGCCGTCTGTCGGGCCGAAACCCGGCCGTCTGTCGGGCCGGACACTCGGCCAGTCTGTTCGGCCGACACCCGGCGTCTGTCGGACCGGTACCCGGCCGTCTGTCGGGCCGACCCAGTCGTTTGGGCCGACATCGGGCCTTCTGTCGGGCCGACACTCCACCGTCTGTCGGGCGGCCCGAGGGCGTCGCCGGCCGATCGATGACGCGGCAGCGGCGGCCGGCATTGTTGGCGGACTGAGAAATGGCCCGGGGCGCCGCCGTAAAACGCCGCCGACAGCTGACGGCACGCGGCGGCGGCCGGAGCCAGGCAGCCACCGGCGCCGCCAGTGGCGGGCCCGCCCCCGCCCGCGCCGGCACGCTGGCGCGGAGCGCGCGGCCGCGGCGCACCGGCAGGCCGGAGCTCGCGCCACACCGGCTCTGGCCGCCCAGCGATTGTCGTGCGGAGGGAGGGCGTGGGTCACGCCCGGCTGCTGGTCGCGACGGAGTGAGTCCCGAACAAATTACGAAACCTGCACACGGCGGCGAAAGCATATTTTCTGAGACACTCCGCTAATGGCATGGGCTGCCAGGCGCGGTAAGGCAACCGTAAGCATTAGCCACACGCCCAACCAGGCTGGACAGACGGCTGCTGACGTAATTCATCTCGCGATCTGTCCATGGCCGCCAACGTACCGAATTCGTTGAGCCAGCAGCGACCTTCTTGTAGACATTCTCCATGAGACCGATGGTAAAGGCCATCAGAAATTGGGGAAGTAGTTGGTCCACGAGCCGTAACCCCACACGTGGTGTGCTTCTCCCACCAGAACTGAAATGAACAGGCCGTACCACTGGCGAGCATGTCGCCGTAGACAACGTTCGATGTTAGTGATCCGTAGAAGTAGTAATAGATCTGTTACGATGGGTGCAGCTACGCCACTTAAACTAAGAGAAGGACGTCACCAGGGGGGGGGGGGGGGCATTATATCATTATCAGCTACAATGATCCCATTAGCAGTTACGTTTGTGAGTCAGGCAATTTTTATTTAACAGCTGACATTTTGACATGTCCCTGAGCCCATCGTGGCTCAGGGACCATGTAGTCTATGTTGTGTGAAAAGGAACACAGCGTGAGTTCATGAGTTCATGGCAAGCCGTGTCTCCGGTGGCCACATCAGTCACCTGTGCCGAGCCGTCAGGCAGTTTCGACACTGCAAAGTG